GTATATCTATATCTACATCTATATCTACATCTACATCTACATCTACATCTACATCTACATCTACATCTACATCTACATCTACATCTACATCTACATCTACATCTACATCTACATCTACATCTACATCTACATCTACATCTACATCTACATCTACATCTACATCTACATCTACATCTACATCTACATCTACATCTACATCTACATCTACATCTACATCTACATCTACATCTACATCTACATCTACATCTACATCTACATCTACATCTACATCTACATCTACATCTACATCTACATCTACATCTACATCTACATCTACATCTACATCTACATCTACATCTACATCTACATCTACATCTACATCTACATCTACATCTACATCTACATCTACATCTACATCTACATCTACATCTACATCTACATCTACATCTACATCTATATCTATATCTATATCTATATCTATATCTATATCTATATCTATATCTATATCTATATCTATATCTATATCTATATCTATATCTATATCTATATCTATATCTATATCTATATCTATATCTATATCTATATCTATATCTATATCTATATCTATATCTATATCTATATCTATATCTATATCTATATCTATATCTATATCTATATCTATATCTATATCTATATCTATATCTATATCTATATCTATATCTATATCTATATCTATATCTATATCTATATCTATATCTATATCTATATCTATATCTATATCTATATCTATATCTATATCTATATCTATATCTATATCTATATCTATATCTATATCTAATTGGTTTTCGTCTTTATTATTTAAGGACTTTTTATATTTAGAAAAAAATGCAATCATGCCCTGACTTTAATTGGTTTAAAAAATTACACATCTGTGACAAACTTGATTTAGGCATATAGAAATTTGTTTTTGTACTGAGATCCGAAAAGGAATATATATTTTTTGGTACATTCAACTGTGTCTGTTTTACATTTAGTAGTTATTCTAGGCTGATTGATTAATTTCAAATAAACTATTTCAATTTGTAAAACTTAAAACTTCAAAATAGAGATACCGTAATTTGGGTAAAAAAATTATATTTTGTACTAAGCAAATGTTCCTATTATCAAAATCACGTATGACCGAACAAAATTTGACTCAGATCTTGAATATCTTGAATAGAAAATAAAAAGCTTTGGTTCTTGTTTGTTTCGACAAGTAAGACAGCTAAACGGGATCCTAATAAATTTCTAGTAAATACCCAAATTGGCAGATAACCAAAAATTGGCCAGTTTTCCTCTCCTTTACGGATGAGCCTAGAAACTGGTATTGTGTACTGTTGTCTAGTGTCCTGTTTGGTGTCGCCTTGTATTTTAACTCGATCTATAATCTCATGATTTCTGTGAATGAAACAGAAGATATTAATACTGTTTTCACACCTCCTTTTAGTAAAACAACATAAATATATATATATATATATATATATATATATATATATATATATATATATATATATATATATATATATATTTATATATATATATATATATATATATATATATATATATATATATATATATATATATATATATATATATATATATATATATATAATATATATATAGATGGGTGGATGAATGAAAGAATGAACGGACGGACAGACGGGATGATGGGCTGGTTGACGTATTTTTTTTCGAATTTTAAAATATTTTCTATGGTAAAATACCAACTAATTTAGCATTAATTTTGAAAATTTGAAAAAAAATATTTTGTGTTTTTTTTTTACAAAACTTGCCAGTTACTCTATTAGAGTTAGCAAATGAAGGATTAATGATTATGTGATCAATATAAATGTTAGTTTATAAGATTGGGACATCCACAAAAAGTTTTTTTTTCGCGATGGCCGCCGTTGCCATGGCGACCATACTTTCAGAAGAGCCCCTGGTGCATGCAGATATTTTTCTTTAAGTACCCTGTCTTAGATACACAAAAATAAAATAAAACTAAGTAAAGCTTATTAGTTTAGACTTTTTTTTTCTGGAGCCTAGCCTCCTCACTCAACTCACACATGCACTCTCCATTAAGTTCGAGACTATTCTAACCTATTCTAATCTAACTAACAAATGACCCGTAACAACATACATAATGGAGACAACATAATCTTGAAAGAAAGATAAGGGGTCGTCCATAAATGACGTCACACTCGTAGGGGGGAGTGGGGTCCGTGATTTTGTGACGGTGTGTGACGAGGGGGTGGGGGGGGGGGGGGTCAGATGGTGCGACGTCACACTTTTGCATTATGAAAAAGCAATGCTAGAAAACGAATTTTAGACGTTATTTCGTGTTTTAGAAAACTGTTTTAATAAATTATAACAGGAATTTATTAAAATACTCTATTTTGACAGAGTTCAGAAAAAGATTTTGGAAAATTATCGATGTTTAAAAAAAAATTCAACTGCAATTTTGAGGGGGGGGGGGGGTTGTTGGCTGAGGTGTAACGTCATTTTAGGGGGTCTGGCTTTTTGTGACGATGTGTGACGGAGGGGAGGGGTAGGTAAATATCGTCAAAAAAGCGTGACGTCATTTATGGATGACCCCTAATACTAATGTAAGAAATATACCGTTTATTTATGTAAATCCCTATTGTGTCGTCAATACATGAAGTCACACATGTAGGGGGGAGGACCGTAATTTTGTAAACAGACAGACAGACAGACAGACAGACAGACAGACAGACAGACAGACAGACAGACAGACAGACAGACAGACAGACAGACAGACAGACAGACAGTCAGACAGACAGACAGACAGACAGACAGACAGACAGACAGACAGACAGACAGACAGACAGACAGACAGACAGACAGACAGACAGACAGACAGACAGACAGACAGACAGACAGACAGACAGACAGACAGACAGACAGACAGACAGACAGACAGACAGACAGACAGACAGACAGACAGACAGACAGACAGACAGACAGACAGACAGACAGACAGACAGACAGACAGACAGACAGACAGACAGACAGACAGACAGACAGACAGACAGACAGACAGACAGACAGACAGACAGACAGACAGACAGACAGACAGACAGACAGACAGACAGACAGACAGACAGACAGACAGACAGACAGACAGACAGACAGACAGACAGACAGACAGACAGACAGACAGATAAGACAAGTCAAGTCAAGTCAAGTCAAGTCAAGTCAAGTCAAGTCAAGTCAAGTCAAGTCAAGTCAAGTCAAGTCAAGTCAAGTCAAGTCAAGTCAAGTCAAGTGATAAGAGATAAAGAATACTCACAAAAGATCCATCTTCTCTAAATCGTTGCACTTCACAAACGTCATAGACCTGTATTTTTTAAAGTATTAAAACAAAACATTTCTATTTAATTTAGCAGTAGAAAAATGCTATGATATATACATATACATATATATATATATATATATATATATATATATATATATATATATATATATATATATATATATATATATATATATAAAGATATATATATATAAAGATATATATATATATATATATATATATATATATATATATATATATATATATATATATATATATATATATATATATATATATAAAGATATATATATATATATATATATATATATATATATATATATATATATATATATATACATACGTGTAGATTAGTATGGTATGTTCATTGTATTTATACACTGTTACTAGATGATCAGGTAGATAACATAACAAAATATACTAGGTGTTTTCCATGTAGTAGAACCTTCAGCAGGAGTGCAAAAATGCTAGCAAAGAATATTACAAATCATTATAAATTTAAAACAAGTAGCCTACACATTTCTTGCCAAAATTAGAGTTCTATCAAGTATATATATATATCCTCGGGCTTTGGCTATATGATACACATAAACATTACACACACACCAGCACTACTTTGCTCATGTCAAATACTCGACCATGCAAGAATATAAAACCTCTACCACGCGACCAATTCGATTACTCGATCACTCAAAAAATTCTTGTCATCCAGGTTACACAATCAAATCGATACCAACAATATCACGATTACTCAACTCTCGTAAAATAAACAGCATTACTGCACCCCACTTCAACTACTTGACTACGCAAGAAAACCCTACGATACTGCATCACTCTCTCTCAAACTACATGAACAATGAAACAAAGCAACCTATGCTAAACGATATCTCAACACGATGACTCCACCTTGCCTATCTTCTCGAACAACTCTACCATCAACGAGAAGACAACAGCAACACAAGGCTCGACCTTTCACCAACGCAACACACCCACTGATACTCTCAAACTACAACGGCTATACAATAATTGATACTACCAACTAAGAATCAACCCCCGCCCATCCAAGATTGAAATAACCGCAAAAAGCAAGGCCAAAGAACTCCGAGAAGCGATCATGTATTGTCATTTACTTTATGTTATTTTAAAGGAAACCAAGAAACCGGAAGTGAAAACAAGAAGACAGAAGAAAACGGAAAATGTAACAATCACAGAATACTGTGTATATACATGTATAAAATTTCATGTATGCATTTTCATGTGAACATGCTCTTGCTGCCGTCCCAAGCTCAAGTGGTGAAGCAGAAGGAGATGGATTATATTAAACTTTAAAAAATACAGAGCCACATATTCCGTTTGAGCTTTAAATATTTGATAGATAATGTAATGTTTGGTGTATGTTATGGCCCAAGCCGGAGGAGTGGTCATTCCAGGAAGCCAGTTCGCGAAGTAGCCAATTCGTTAGTCCTATGCCCGATGTGATCAGGTAGTGCATTTCAGAAATTTGAAGGCTACTTTGTGAGCCGGCAGTGATGCCCTGGCCATCGTCTGATATGGGTTTTTGTGTGATCAATTTATATTATTCTGACAGCGGTTTCATCGTAAATAATGCATTCCTCGGCTCTTGTTTGCACTGAATTCCCCTTTACAGCTTGTAAAATGTCTCACGGACAAC